AGAATAACGTAGAGTCTGTAAAACACCACATAATATGGATGAACTTGGAGGACATTATGCTGAGTGAAATAAGTCAATCACAGAAGGACAAATACAGTATTAGTTCATTGTTGTGGAGGGTCAAGGAAAGATATGGAGGGAAACTTTCTTGGTTGGTTGCCAAGGGTGGGAGGGGAGGGGAGGGAACACTGCAAAAAAAAAAAAATGCATTGACCCATGTCACTTTAGTTTTGTATATGTCACTGTACATAAAGTATCTTTCAATAAAATGCATTAAAAATAATATTAATAATAAAAGATTTACCGCCTTGGAAACACTATGGGGCAGTTCTAGTCTGGGTCACTATGAGTTGGAATCAACTGAATGGCAGTGGGTTTTCCTGGTCTTCCCTGCCTTCTATACCAACCACCCCTTTCTCACCAGCAGTAAGTAATCCTTTTGTTAGTTTCTTGATCTCTTGTGTACACTCTTATTAATTCATTAATTATCCATTTATATATGTGAGTGCCTATTTTGGGCACTATCTGTCCTCACAAGATAGTTAAAGTTGTAAAGTTGGTACCTGTGAATGTGACCTTATTTGGAAATAATGTCTTTGCAGATATGATCAAGTTAAGATGAAGCCATACTGGATTAAGAAAAAAAGAAAAGACAAATTCACTGCTGTGGAGTTGATTCTGATTCATAGTGACCCCTCCTTGGGTTTCCAAGGAGTATCTCTACAGAAGTAGATTGCCCAGTCTTTCTTCCATACTGGATTAGAGTGGATCCTAAATTCAATGAGTCTTGCCCATATAAGGAAAGGGACACTTAGGGACATAGAGACCTATAGACATAGAAAGGGAAGAAGGTCATATAAATCAGAGGCAGAAATTGAAGTGGTACGTCTTTGAGCCAGAGGATGCCAAGGATTGCCAGAAAGCACCAGAAACTTGAGAGAGGAAGGGAAAAAATTTTCCCTAAGAAGGAGTCTACATCTCCATTCCAGGGTCTGGTCCCAGAAGTACTGCCCAGCTTTGTTTGTCCCCTTGGCATTGGTGCCCTGAACCCCACATCCTAGTCCATAGCTCTGCCTTCAAATTTGCCTAGAACCCAGTCTTCCCTCATCGTAAGCACCACAGCTTTCATCAGAATGGCAGCACTAGGCTCCCGGATGGCCTCCCATGTCCCCACCTGTCCTACAGTTCAGTTTTCACTCAACATCCAGGGTAATCATTTTAACCCAATGTTTAGATCACTGCACTTCTGGTCTCAGAACCTTACAACAACTCTCCATTTCAGTCAGAAGAGTCAAGATTTCCTAGGGACCTACATGCTGTATGTAGTATCTTGCCCCACCCACTGGGGTCCCTTACCTCTTCTAACTCTCCTCCTCACCCTGCTCCAAACACACTAGCCTCCTCATAGCTCCTTGAACATTCCAGGCTCGTTCCCACCTCATAGGTTTTGCATTGGCTGTTCCCTCCTCTCAAAAACAAACAAACAAAAAATACTCACTGCCATTGAGTCTATTCTGACTCATAGTGACCCCCACGGGGTTTCCAAGGTGGTAAACCTTGGAAACCTCTACAGAAGTAGATTACCCCATCTTCTTTCTGCACTGTGGCCAGGGGGTTTGAACCACGAACCTCCCAGTTAGCAGTCAAATGCCTTAGGCACTGTGCCACTAGAGCTCCTTGTTCCCTCGTCTAGGAATTTTTTTTACCCCTGGGCAGCTGCGTGAGTTAATCCCTTACCTCTGTCATGTCATTGCTCAAGCATTGCCTAAATGGCTACCCTATTTATAATCACAAACTACCTCCTAGTCCAGTTTTCCTGATACCTTTATCTTGCTTTGCTTTTTTCCACCATTGCACTTTTTGCTTTCTCACAGACCAAATAATTTACTTATTTATTTTATTTATTTATTACTTATTTCCCCTGGATAAGAAATAAGCTCCATGAAGGCAGGGAATTTTGTGTTTTATTCACTGATACATCCTCACACATAGTAGGTGCTCAATTAATGTTTGTTGAATGACTGAATGAGTAACTGAACCAATGAATATAATAGTGAGTATAATGTTGATTCTCAGAGTCCATCTCATCTCAGCCTTCAACTGATCACATTCCTTCTACCCCTCTCTACCTTCAAGGGGCTGAAACAAAGAGAAAACACAAGTGAATGGTGGGCATGGTGTTGACGATTCCTCATGACTTAGAGCATGTTAGAGCTCCTTGTTTATTCCTATGCCATTATCCTACAGAAGGAAAAATAAAACCAGGCCTGAAAAAACAGAGGCAGTGAAAGGCAAAATAACCCTATAACTCCACCTTGTTCGAGGATGGGTTCTCCCGCCACTCCAGCCCTGTGCCCTGGATATTACGGAGATTTTACAACATCTCAGAGGTCCTTAGGTGGTTTGATACAGAGTCTTGGAGGATGGAGAGTTGAAGAAGAGTGGGAGTGGTCTGGGAAGGAAGGTGGGAAGCCCACATACACGTCAGGGCCCTGAGGATAGTCACCTGGTCTGCAGTGACTCTCTCCACCGCCTCAGTGTCTCTGGGAACAACATGGCTTCCACGTCCTTCATTTTGCCTTCATCAGGGAGGATGAAGAGTGCACTCGCATTACCAGTGTATTTCAGTTCCACCACGGTGCAGGAGAGCTCCTCATCCCGGAAGTAAGGTGTGTCCAGGTCCTCAATGTTCATCATGGGCACGTTCACGGACTTTCCTTTGCTCACATGAAACTTTGACTTGTATGTGTCTTGAGGATCAAAGGGATGCTGCCATTTGGCTAAAGGTGGGGGCGTAAGAAATCAGAGAAGCGGGTGAGTGGAAGAACTGCTGTGCCCTTATCCCAACTCTGTCTCGGTTCCCGGAACGGAGAAAGCACTATACATCATCAGCCACAACAGAGTTCCTCTTAGGGATGGAACTGCCTTGTTTGGAAAGATACCTTGGCAGGTATATAATCTGTAGCGGGTGAGGATGTGACCCCACAAAGCTGGACCGGGAAGGGGGCTAGGTAACAAATAGATGGCTAATTGTTCTGAATAAGAAATCAACAGGAGCTGGGGAATAGGCAGTGCAAAAAAGAGATTACGGTGGGGAAAGAGGAGAACGGTTCTGTGCGAGGCTGGCACCTGGGAGGAAACTGGAAAATTCCACAATCCTTAAAAGGCATAGCCTTCCTCCTGTGGCTTCTAGCCAAACAATGGACAGGCATATAGGGTGAACATTTGTATCAGGTAGATATACTCTTTAGCGCGATCAATCATGGGAGAACAGAAAGGCAGTGTTTGCACAGGGAGATAGCTGGGGGATGGGAGGTAGGAATGCATAGGAAAGAAGGACACAGGCAAGAGGTAACTATGGGGAGGAAGTGGGGAGAGAGCTGTTACATTGTGGGACTGCAGTCAATGTCGTAAAACACAATGTGTGTGAACTGCTGTATGGAAAATGAATTTGCTCTGTAAACTTTCATCCAAATCACAATAATAGATAAATAAATAAATAAGGCATAGCCTTTCAAGAACAGTGCCTAGTGACCATTTGAAGGTATTGCAGGTGTGTAAACATATAAACACACTTCTGACACCCCAAACCTTCTACTCCTCTCCCAAGCAGCTTATGGAAGGATTTGGGATGTAAAAAGGAAGAAAGAGGATGAGTTCCTCATGGGGGTTGGTGAGAGACAGACAGAAGAAAATGCCCATCGGTGTGAAACAGCTGGGAGGAGCAAGGAGACTTTACTGAACTCAGACCCAGGAGTGAACTTGAGAATAAAGCCCACGGCTCCTTGTGACATCTTTGGGGCAATGACTTCCCAAAAGACATGGGCTAAGAGGTGCCACCCAAATTCAATAATCCAAAAGAACAAGGTAGTCTCAGCGGATATCTGAGTGATGTCCATCTTTATGGCCATGGACAGTCATAGTTAGCAGCTCAGACTTCCTCTTGGGTCTTGAGCCCCCAATCCCCATTACTTTCATTCTTAATCCTGAGGTACTTGGAACTGTTGCAATTTCTTGGACTCAGTAGCTCCAATCTCCCTCTGTCTTGTACTTTTCAGCCACAGCTAGCCAGTCATGGCTCATGTCTTGAGCCAATAGAGAAAGGCTTCTGGTTTAGTCTAATTTTTCAGGCCCTTCCTCACTTTGCTCCCAACCCTCTCCCATCCCATCCTGGGCTGTATCTCTGTATCATCAAAGAATATGCTCCTCTTCTGCCATTTTCTTTTGATGACTAACTTCGTTCCCTGGCTTTCACTCGCTCTAAGAACCTGTCTCCCTCATCTTTGGCTCTGCTTTAGGATTTACGAGATCCAGCCCTCCAGATCCAACCTCAGGCTCAGCCACATTACAGATGGGTTGAATGACTAGCCCCAATTTCTAGTCTTCAAGTTTGGGGTGGTCATACACAAGGGAGCCCCTGCTACAGCATTCCTAAATGCAGCATCACTCATACAAACCTCCCAGGCTTCTCCCTTCTTGACCCTATCAAATGTCTTGGCCAAGCATATAATCATAGCGCTCTTACTCCAGACCCTGTTTGTGCTTTTAATTTTGCAAAGGGAAAATTCCATACAATTCCCTGTAGTTAATATAAATCCTCAAACTGAAGGCTTGTTTACATTAGTTCCTATTATCTGATACAAATGTGTCTGATTTTCAACAAAAAATTACCAGACATAGCAAAAGGTAAGTAATCACACAGTCTAAACAGACAAAGCAAACATCAGAATCAGATTCAGATGTGACATAGATGTTGGAATTGTCAGGTAGGGAATTTAAAATAATTTTGCTTAACATCTTAAGGTGCAAATGGAAAAAAAAAAAAAATAGACAATAAGCAAGAAGAGATGGGTAATGGAGCCAGAGAGATGGAAATTCTTAAACTCAAAAGGAAATGCTACAAGTAAAAAGCTCAGTAACGCAAATGAAGAATGCCTTCAATGGGCTTATCAGTGAGACTCAACACAGCCAAGGAAAGAATCAGTAAACTTGAAGTTATCTCAACAGAAACTTTCCAAATGAAAATGCAAAAGTATTGACAAAAACAGAACAGACATCTAAGAACTAGGGGGGGGGAGGGGGGCAACTTCAAAGGTGTAACACACATTTACTGGAATACCAGAGGAGAAGAAACAGAAAACAGAACAGAAGAAATATTCAAGGTAATAATGGCCGAGAGTTTTCTAAAAGTAATGAAAGACACCAAACCACAGATCCAGGAAGATCAGGGAAAACCAAGCAGGACAAATACCAAAAAATACACACCTAAGCATATTACAATCAAATTGCAGAGAACCAAGGACAAGAGGGAATGTTGAAAGAAACCAGAGGGAGGAAAAAGCACCCAACCTACAGAGGAAGAAAGAATTAGAACTGACTTCTCACAAAAAAAAAAAAAATTCAATCAACAAGGCAACTGAGTAAAATATTTAAAGTGGTGAAAATTCCAAGAAACTCATTCTTTGGAAATCCTGACATGGGCCCCTGAGCTGTATGTATTTAACTAAGTACACTTTTTCCTCTTTTAGGTAAAGGGTCAGTCAGCAAGCTCAACTCCCAAGCCCAATACAGTCATGGCTTGTTTTTATATGGTCTGAAGCTAACAATGTTGTTTACATTTTTAAAAGGCTGGGAAAAAAAAAAAAAGGAATCTGTGGCAGAAACCTATATGGATGACAAAGCCTAAAATAATTACTATCTGGCCCTTTATTAAAAACAGTGTGTTGATCCCTGCTCTGGATTGTGACTTCTATTCTAAACTCTGGAAGATGCTCAGTAAAATTTTTTTTTTCTGAGTTAAAAAGAGGAAGAAAAGGGAATTTTGGAATGGGCCCAGGATAAGTTGGAACCTCTATTACCTACTAGCTATACCCTGGAACAAGTCACTTAGCTTGCAGAACTTCTTGCTCCCTATCTAAAAAATGGGGGACATGACTACCTACTTTCAGAGCTGCTGTGAGGGTTAAACAAGGTGGTAGTAGGTGCCCAATAAACATGAGGATGCTATTTATTTTTCTCTATAATAGAAGCTAGTGTAACCAAAGTCCGCTTCTAGGTGGCTCTGCTTTCTCTACTGCTTCATTTCTTCACTTGCCTCCTCCCCACCTGCAGGTTTTCTAGGACTAACATAGCAGCCCTTCCTTCTCCACACAAGTCTAACTGTAAAGAGCATCATAGTCAAGGCCTGTTGTTGTTGTTGTTATGTGCCGTCGAGTCGGACCCAACTCATAGCAACCCCTCCTTGGTTTGCCAAGGCAGTATATATACAGAAGTAGACTGCCCCATCTTCCTTCCCAGGAGTGGCTGGTGGGTTTGAACAGCCAGCCTTCTGGTAAGCAGTCAAGTGCTTTAGCCACTATGCTACCAGAGTAAACAGGCAAATCTAATTGTAAAGAGCATCATAGTCAAGGCCCAACACAAAGTGAGATGTTTCAGTTAAAAAGTGCCCCTGCTTACCAGCTACTCACGTGGCTTCTGTGGCCACCATGTGTGGGCAGTGTCACATGGTACCTCCAACATCACCCAGGAGACTAAGGCTCCTTTGGGGTCCTTCCAGTCATCTTGTCCTCCAGCATGGGTTCCCACCAGGAAGATGGGTGGCCTTTGGGTGCTCTAGGGATTTCCGTGTATGCCACAGTGGGAGAAGGGTGTTTTGAGGGATGAAATCACTGTCCATATTATAATCGCTCCAAGATCTACTGGCTTTTTAATTTACTCACATCTGCTCCTTATCTTCCCATATTTCTGTCTCCAGGGAACCAACTTTTCTGATTCTGCCTCCTGTGTGTCTCCTAGCATTTCCCATCCAAGAAGCTTGGGCCCCATCATTCCAGCTCACGAAGCCACCTCATAGACTCCCCTGACTCTAAGCTTGCCTCCTTCTTCCAATACCCTCGTGAAAGCTGTCATGAGTGAACTGTGTCCCCCCAAAATATGTGTCAACTTGGCTAGTCTAGAATTTTCAATGGTTTGGTAATCATGTAATGGTGTAATCTGGCAGTTATGTATTTATGTAATCATCCCTTATGATGTGATCTGATGTACTTATCCTCCTTCCATGATGTGTTGTAATTCCTGAGCTTTATGTGCTCATGAAAGGTCTCTGGTGGTGCTGTGGTTAAAGCATTTGGCTGCTAACCAAAGAGTAATTTGAGCCCACCAACTGCTCCACAGGGGAAAGATGAGGCAGTCTGCTTCTGTAAAGACTCACAGCCTGGGAAACCCTGTGGAACAGTTCTGCTCAGTCCTAGAAGGTCACTATGAGTTGGAATCAACTTGATGGCAGTGGGCAGTGGGTATGTGTTCATGAGGCAGGAGTAGGCTATGATAATGAAGATTAGATTTCTTCTACTTCAATCCACAACCAGTACTCATGGAAGCAGTAGTCAGGAAATCAGACATCGTATTGCAATAGCCAAATCTGCTTCAAAAGACCTCTTTAAATTGTTGAAAAGCAAAGATGTCACTTTGAAGACTAAGGTGTCCCTACCCCAAGCCAAGGTACTTTTAATCGCCTCATGTGCATGTGAAAGCTAGGCAATGAATAAGGAAGGCTGAAGAACTGATGTCTTTGAATTGCGGTGTTGGTGAAGAATACTGATAATAGCATGGACTGCCAGAAGAACAAACAAATCTATCCTGGAAGAAGTGCCGTCGGGATGCTCCTTAGAAGTGAGAACGGCCAGACTTTGCCTCACCTACTTTGGTCATGTGGTCAGAGGGGACCACTGCCTGGAGAAGGATACCAAGCTTGGTAAAGTAGAGGGTCAGAGAAAAAGGGAAAGGCTCTCAATGAGATGGATGGACACAGTGGCTGCAAGGATGGGCTCAAGCACAGCAAGGATTGTGAGCATGATGCGGGACAGGGTAGTGTTTTGTTCTGTTGTCCACAGATAGGGTCAATACAAGTCAGAATCTACTCTAGGGCACCTAACAAAGAAACAGTGATGATTAGGTTAGGTTTGTTATGTTAATGAAGTACCCTTACTCAGACCACAGCTCAGATCAGATACAAAGGGAGTTTCCCTGGGTGTGGCCTGCATTACCTTTTATCTTACAGGAAATAAAAGGAGAGAGAAGCCAGCAGAAAGAGAAGGATTTTAGTACCACCAAGGGATTTCTAGGGAGCTCTGGTAGCATAGTGCCTAAGGCACTTGACCAGAAGGCTGGCGGTTCAAACCCACCAGCCACTCCTCGGAAGGAAGATGGGGCAATCCTACTTCCATAGTGATACTGCCTCGGAAACCCAAGGAGGGGTCGCTATGAGTCGGGTCCGACTCCACGGCACATAACACACACACACACACACACAAGGGATTTCTAAACACTAGTCTAACTGTTGTTGTGGGAACTGTTGTAGCTATTTACCACGGAGTTGATTCTGACTCATGGTGACCCCAAGTACGCAGAGCAGAACTGCCCCACAGGGTTTTCAAGGCTGTCACCTTTCAGAAATAGATTGCCATGCCTTCCTTTCAGCACCTCTGTGGGGTTTGAACCATCAACCTGTCAGCTAGTAGTCGAGCCCTTAATCATTAGAGCCACCCAAGGACTCTAGCCAAACACTTCTACTCAGGAATCCTAACCAGCCCAGCTGTCTCTTAAGTAGGAGCTCATAAGCCTTTTTTGGGGGTTCTCTTGGGGCCATTTGGGAGTGGAGTATGTCCTTTGGATCCAGGGTCCCTGTGCTGAGAACCTCCTAGACTCAGGTGATGATTGATGCCACTACATATGGAGATCTCCAAGGAATACCAGGCCCACAGACATAAAAGGAGACAAGGACCTTCCCCTAGAATTGACAAAGAAAGCCTGGAACTCAGACAAAGAAAAAGTTGGACAAAGAAAGTCTCCCCCTAGACCTGATGCCCTGAATTTGGACTCTGGTCTCCTGAACTGTGGAAGAATGAATTTCTGCTTGTTTGAGCTATCTCCTTGTAGTACATGTGTTATAGCAGCAGTGGGTAACTGAGGCAGAAGCCCAAGAGATCATTCTCCTAGGGTCCTCTAGAGAGGGTCCACACATCTCGTAAGGCTGGTGGTGTCCTTTATGATCTGGACTCTGCTCGACTCAACACCTCCAGCTGCTGCCCTCTCTCTTGGACCCTGCTTTGTACCACAGAGAACTACTTGTTCCACAGGCCATGCTCTATCTTGACTCCATGGCTTTGCATGAGCTATTCCCTCTGCTGCAATGCTTTTCCCTCCTTAGCCCATTTGGATCTAAAAAAAAAACAAACTTCCCAGGAAACAAACTCCTTTCTTGACTCCATGGTCTCTCGCCTTCCTTAATCTCATAAAGTCACTTTTGTGCTTCTGGCATCATTTGGTGAATTGATCCTGTGTGCCCATGGGCCAAATGGATGCCACCGGGAGAAGAGCAGAGAGGAAGAATTAGCAGCCATGGGATGCTCAGTCCCTCCCTAAGCTGGTACAGAGCACAGCAGAGCTGAGACACTGGGACCCGGGATTTTCTGAGTCTGAATAAGAGCCTCAAGAATGACCAGGTCCCATCACACACAAGTTGACTGATGTTCGTGAGCCTCGCTGAAGCAATTGAGTAAAAAATGAGATACCATAGGGTGGAGGGCAGGTGATGAGAGGGTGGAGAGATACACAGATGCCCCCTCAGGGAGGGCTGGAGCACTCAACTGAGGGGAGCACTGCCTGGAGGCTAGAGGCCTGCAGGGTTCCTGAGAATGTACAGCCCCTCCCTGCCTGTTTGCCCACTGTTAGAAGCCCTCATGGCCCCAAGAGAACCCGAAAAACGCTTATGAGCTCCTAGTTAAGAGGCAGGAGAGAGGGGACAGCTGCGCTGGTTAGGATTCCTGAGTAGAAGTTTGGCTAGAGTCCCCGGGTGGCTTTAACGATTAAGGGCTCAACTAGTAGCTGAGAGGTTGATGGTTCAAGCCCCACAGAGGTGCTGAAAGAAAGTCATGGCAATCTATTTCTGAAAGGTGACGGCCTTGAAAACCCTACGGAGCAGTTCTGCTCTGCATACACGGGGTCACCATGAGTCAGAATCACCTCCACGGCAAACAGCTAACAGTCCCACCACTGTTAGACTGAAGTTTAGAAACCCGTTTGCAGTGTAGTTTCAGCAGCCAAGCCCCACCGATCTGGCTTCCTGCTCTATGGTGCTCTGTGTAGTCACAGACCGTTCTGTCATCTCAGAATGAAAAGCCTGTTTTCCCTCAGAATGCCAATACACACGCACCTTTAAAGAAGATGTAATTCACCAGGACCATCACTGTTTGTGGGTCAAGGCCGCTGACCAAGTCCGCAATCTTCCCCTGGGTCTTCTTTTCCACGTAACTGTTGATGAGCTGCTCGGCGGTGGCAGTGTCTTGGAAGGTGGCGTTGAAGGCCTCGGCCCCGTACAGCGCCTGGGCCTCCTCCCTGAACTTCTCCAGCACATTCAGATGCTGCTCCACGAACATGGCATTGCTCGTGCTCAGCTGCAGCTGCTCACCAGGCCGCTTGAGGGTACGCAGAAGGTGCTGGAAGCCCTGATGGATTTCAGCCTCTGGGGTCTCTGTGAGGTTGAACTTGAGGCCTTCGAGAATCTCTGTCAGGGTGGTGCCACGGGCCCCTATGGACACGAAGGCCAAGGCCATGGAGATGCTCAGGGGTGAGAAGATGACATTCTTGTCGGGGGTCTTCAAAGCCAACTGCTTGTAGAGGCTGAAGGCGAAGTCAGCATTGCTGGAGGCCATCCTGAGGCTATCCACATGGGTCTCATTCTCGTGGGCCTGATCTTCCCCTCTGAGTATGCTGCTCGAGTGGCCCACGACAACAGCCCCCAGCAGCCCCAGGGCCAGGAGAGGTGACATCTTCTGCATTCTCAACTCTGAAAGCAAAGCTCCTTCAAGCCATGGCAGTTCAGACAGAGCCTTAACAACCCACCCACCACCCATGGGACTCCCTGCACAGCCTCCTTGTGGCCTGGGGTCAGTCCCTGTTCTGCTGCCCTCACCAGCTTTGCACCCTCCACGGATGGGTTGGGTGTGCTTCTGGGCACCCACCACCCAAGATCACGTTCTGTGCTCCCTCCCACCTTAGGAGGTAGGTGCTGTCATTGTTGCCATTTTCCCAGGGAAGATATTGAGCACAGAGAGGTGAAAGGGCTTGCCAAGATCACACAGCAACCAAGGGGAGGAGTCAGGGTGAGAAGCAGGTTTGCCTGACTCCTAGGCTGGGAGCTAAGTGCTGGGGTGAGGAACTGGCCAACAAGAATGCCCAGTCCCCAGTGAGGGTGAGCCCCTGTCAGAGGAGATTGGAAGGCAGGAGTCCCTCTCCCCCATGTCCTCTACTGCTCCCAAATTGGAACCACTGAAGGAGCTTGCGCCCCATCAGACAGACCTCAGAGCCCTTCTGGCCCTCCGTCACAAGCTGTGGGCCTGGGACAGGGACACGACTGCTTGGTGCCTGATCGTGCTGAGTGTCAACGGCACGAATGCACAGAAAGCAGTGCCTGGAACCAGAATCCCTTGGTAGGGGTTGGCATAAAGAGCAAAGGAAGACTGGACTTTCTTTCTAGCCCCTCTCAGGTAGACCCTGGCAATCTACCTCTCAAAGGTCATGGCCATGGAAACCGTACAGAGTGCACTTCTACCCTGGCACACATGCGGTTGCCATGAGTCAACTTGACACAGCAGTAACTGGTTTGGTTCTTTTGGCTTATTTTTATCATGAGTCTAGAAAGGCCTCCTGGTGGTGGTGGGAAAAGCAAGGGGGGCTTCCGAGTCTAAGAGGCCTGGCCTGGGGTCTGTGTTTAGCCCCTTGTGATCAGGGTGGTGGCAGCAAGTGACCAAAGCTCTCTAAGCCTGTTTCTGTCTCTGTCAAACCTGTTGAGTGATGACATTATCTCCTAGTAGGTGTTTCTGGGAAATTACTTCCGCCCCTACTCCCCCTGGAGCTACTGCACAGGGATCTCGAGATGCAACTGAGTTCAAAGCTCGGCCACAGCAGCCAACTGGATTCTTCACCCAGCACCTCTGGCCTCTGCTCGCTGAGCTCAGAACTCAGAGGAGCCAAGGGGCAGCCTGTGTGCTGGGGAGAGGAGAGGCGGGGAAGAGGGGACAGAAGAGGGGAGAAAAGAGGAAAGAAAGAGCGGGGAGAGGGGGGGAGAAGAAGGAAGAGGAGGGAGAGGAAAAGAAAGGAAATGATGGGGAGGAAGGAGCTAAGTAAATTCCCACCAAGAGCCCTATAGGATTCCTGCAGATAAGCTCAGGGACAGAGGCAGCCAGGTTGCCTCAACTATGTGTCCACTTCCAGAACTGGGCTTCTGACGCAACCGTTTTTTGGAAAAGAGTTAAACTTTTTTTTTTTTTTTTTCTCCTGAGGAAATTATTTCTGGGGCAGAAGGGCTTGTCTGTTTGGGGAAGCCAGAGGGCTGGCTGTTCCCCAGCGGTCTGGCTTCTCGGAGGCTGGATAGAACAGCAGCCTGCCTGCCTGCCCGGACGCCCACCAAGAGGCCAGCAGCAGTGCCATGCCTCCCAGCCTCGCCTGCAGACCCTGGGCAGCCATGGCCACCCCCCAGGGGCCTGCTGCACTGAAGAGTTCTGAGAACAGCCCGCTAGGTCAGTGAGGGGGCTGCCAGGTCACCCTTCCCCTTGGGACAGCTGGGCTGCAGTACAGGAAAGCCAGGCGGAGGCAGAAGGGGGTGAGGATCCCCAAGTGGCTGGACCGAGACCGCCGTCTCCACCATCAGATTCCCCAAGTGTCGGCGTTAGAAATGGCCTCGGAGACCCTGGAGACGCCCCCAGCACTCGGCAGGTCTGAACACCCAAACTCAGAGGGACAACTGTCCCTGTCGTCAGCACGCAACTCCCAAGATTCCGTGTGGAGCCAGGCTCAGAAGGGCCCCTTGACTCCAGCTTGTCACATACCTCTGCCTGGTTCCCTGCTGCCCCCACACCTTCCAAAGCTCCACGGTCCAGGACTGCCCTGGACCCAGGGATTTCGGGCCCCAACAAGCCGAGCATCACGATTACCTGCTGGAGAGCCGGAAGGAACCAGGGGATTCCACAGCAGCTTGCTGGGAGCACGGTTTTCCTGAGTGCTAACGTGGGTTTGGTTTTATAACAGTATTTATCCTCCAAAGAACTCCGCCCCCTCTTAGGAAATGCCAGCAAGAACAGCCCAGTGTTTTTGTCTGGTCTGGAAGGGGCCAGTGACGATTTCCGGTAACCCCCCAAAACAACCCCCCCACCCCGAACCTAATCCGACCCACAGTGCCCCTAGGGGACAGAGTAGAACTGCCCCATCTGGTTTTCAAGGCTACAATCTTTATGGGAGCTGACTGTCCCATCTTTCTCCTGCAGAGCCGCTGGTGGGTTAGAACCGCTGACCTTTAGGTTAGCTGCCCAACGCGTTAACCACTGCTCTACTAGGGCCCCAATTTTCAGTAGCATGGATTTATTAGATATACTCGAACTCTCCAGTTTCTGGAAGCAGCCCCTGACTTTGTTTTCTTCTTTAAAAAAAAAAAAAGGAAGTGTTTACCTTGTTGGATTTTTCTTTAGTTTATGAAATAGGCATGTAAGAGGGCTTCAAGTGCCAGGAAATATATAAAAAAAAGATACTGGAGAAAGTCCTCAACTTTTTGTTCATTTTCAAAAAATAAACTTCCTTTTGTCATTGAAAACATAAAACTCAGAAGGGAGGATAAAGAACATTGAGTAAATGTCCCCTGCATTTTATCACCCAGGGAGATTTCCAACTAGCATTCTCATATATGACTTCTTCTTCTTCTTCTTCTTCTTTTTTTTTTATTGTGATTTGGGTGAAGGTTTACAGAGCAAATTCACTTTCCATACAGTGGTTCACATATACTTTGTCTCATGACATTGACCACAGTTTACCACAATGCAACAGCTCCCCTCCCACTTCCTCCCCATA